GTACCCTACAGCTTTACCGGAGTAGCTTATCTCGGGTTTAGGGTGGGTCGGGTATTGGGGATAGTTCAGGGATTAGAGGTTTGGGGGCCAGCGTTAGTTTGCGCTAGATTCCGGGTTTAGGGTTAGGGTTATTTAGAACAGCGCCGAATTTCAAGCTTTTTTGGTTTGGCCCACATAGGAAACCTGAACAATGACAAGCAGGACGCCTCAAAACGATGCAGCCTGAACCCAGACCGAAAGAGCGCGCAGAAAGCAAAGCCTGTGCTTATCCTGCACTTCGAGTCCCAACATAGGCTATGGGAATATAGGGACCGTGGCAGTCCAAAACAGTTTGGGGCGTATACTATATTCGTAATTGCTACTATAGGGACTGCAAGGGGAGACTATTAAGCTTACCCCTACCTCGGGGCATGCGGCGTCCCTGTTACCAAGATATCACGTCTTTTGCAAGCCTTGGGTAACCCTAAACCCTAAACCCCAAAACCTTTCTCCCTGAACCTTCAACTCCTAAGCCACAAAGCCTCGACACGAAACCTCAAAACTCGCAAGACTGACCCCTCATAACCCTGCACCGCCCAGAATTTCAAGAAAAGATGGCCGGGGCCCCAGAGCTTTGATGTTTTCGACCGGATTGGTGTTTTGGCATTTCCTGGAGGTAGAACAAGTCCCCGAAACCGTTACACCGTAAACCCTGTCAGAAGTGGGGCAGCAGATTAGCTGATGCAAACTAGCTTACATTACAATGGCAGGAGAGATTTCTGGGCCCACCTTCGCGCAGATTTGCGAGGCGTGCTTGAAGGCCGGCAGCAGATAGGATCTCAGTTTTGGTTTAATTTCTTGTCGAAGCAACTGAAGTGCAATTGACAGCCGCATGCTACAGCGAGACCTTGAAATCCGGTACCTGTGACATCAATTTGATGTTGTCGTGCCGTCAGTGATCTTCAGTTGAAGCGAAGCCCCATCATGCGAAGAATTTATGGACACCCTCGGACCATTCTATAATTCTATATATAGTCGAAACCGCGAAACCCTGGCATCTCTACCCGTCGCTAAAGTCGTTAATGTTAAAGCCACGGAAGGTGTTCTTCTCTGACATGGTGGATGGACAGGGCCGTTTTGTACATAGTCTTGCGGACACTGCTTCAGCGGCTTGAGGGGGCCTGTGATCGAGAGATGCCGCAGTCAAGATCTCCCTGAAGAAGGCTCATACAGTGCAAAGAAGCTGTCTTCTTGAGGAGGGATTTTTTTCTGCCCCAAGAGCGTCGGAAGCATGAGCTTTGCATCAGAAGCACGTATTCTAGGGGCCGTAGTAATTCCCCACACTATTTTGGGGGCTCCTTAGTATAACTATAGTATAATGGGCCCCAAAACCCTATTCTAATTATTAAGGCCCCCAAAAGTAAGCTCCGAAGCTCTGGGGCTTTGCATGAGGCCGGGGGCCCTTGTTTCTGCCCGACAGAAGCTCCTCCATTTGCTCGAAGCAACGCAAAACCGCATCGTAAAACGACGAAGCCCCAAAACCGCTTATGAAGACGAAGCCCTATGAACTTGACCGCAAACCCTGAACATTTACGAGAACCCTTGTGGAAAACTCCTACATGCTCTCAGGAGCTGCAAAGACCAGCTCCTGGGAGATCTCCGGATCGTGGCTCAAAAAGAGCCCAGCGTTGGGAGAAAGTTCAGGAAAAAGGGCACAGAAGATCGTCACAGGAGGCTTCCGTGGCTCAGTGGTGTCGGACGAGGACGAGATGTAGCATGTAGGTAAATATTTTAGTCAGCCTTGGTATTGCTATTTCGAAGACAGCCACATATTGAAACGAGCGACTTCTGCTCACCTTCAACTTACCATTGAAATGCGTTTTCGCGCCAACAACTGCATGGGTAGGCCACCTTTATTGCTTCCATCCTTCTAGTTTCAGCTGGGAGTTTGCGAGAGTTTGCACAAGGCTTGCCACGTGCCTCTGAACCAGCAACAAGGAAGGCGGCCAATGATGGAAATCGATCATAGTTAGAACCTGTCCCGAAACCTGAGTATGATGCATTAGTCAACATCTTTCGGTACAATATGTTAGGAAGTCCTGGAAGGGGATCGTTGAACAGAGCTTTCTCCGAGAGAAAGCCGGGCCAAAGAAGCCGACGCCTCATGCATGACACAACAGTTTTCAAGGCTCAAGAATCGCCCATAGCTAGAACGGTGCACTAGGCAACACCTTTCGGTAAGGTTCTATTCATCCGTGTGTAACTCTTCGGGTTCAGGGCACAGGGTGGAAAGTCGAGGTTCAGGGTTGACTAGGATCTTTACGAGATGTCGTCGGATACTGCGGCTGATGGAGAAACTTGTAGGTTAGCACATGGAAATATGGCTGATTTTCTGTTAAGGCTTTACGGGACAAGCATATTGAGGAATATGGCCGCACTCAAACAGTGTTAAGACGCTTAAGTTACGCACCGATTGTGCTGCCAGGATTTTCGTGAGGCTGCAGAGGTAATCTCGGCAATCTTAGGCTTGTGGCTTGAACTACCATAGCCTACGTTACCCACCTTCTTTCATGGTCTTTTCTTAAAAAACTAACGGAGGTCTAGTCGCGATCATGCAATGAATCTGGTGAGCCATGACAACCTAATCTAGAGATTTCATCGCCCGGAGCAAGTTGGGGACCCCAAAGCCCATCATTTCAATTACATAAACATATGAATGTATGAATATGTGTGTGCACGCATACATACATACTTACATACGTACATACATGCATACCTCTATACATACATACCTATGCCTGCACCTACACCTACACCTAGACATCGACATACACATGCACATACGTATGCACATACTCGTACGCATGCACACACACACAAACACGCATACCCATACACATACACTTACACATACACATACACCTGCACATACTCACAAATATACACATACACCTAGACATAGATGTAAACGTAGACATAGACATGCACATGCACATGCACATCAATCAATCAATCAATAAATCAATCATTTTATCTATCTATGAGAGAGGGAGAAGTTGTGTCGCGAGCTGGAGTTCCAGAAAAACACAAAGCGCATGTTTTCTAAGCTGCCCTAAACCGAGACCCAAACCCGGAACCCTAATCGCCAAGCGAGCCTTCCTGTTCACGCTCTGCACCTTGCCCGGCCGTGCTCAGAAGATTCCCGCGAACCTATCCGTAGGCGCTACACATGGGTCAGATCTTCGAATCCTTGTGCCCGGCGGTTTGGTATTCGCAATCCGGTGTCCATAGCTTCGACGGAAAGTGAAGCAATAGATTGCAGTGCTCGGCCACTTCAGCATGTAGAGCAGCATATGTCATGGGCTCGAAGGCCTTGCATGCAGCATTGATAAAGCCCAGAAGGCACGGGGCACCTTGGCCCCGCTTGGGCCGGCCGAAACTTGCCGAGCTTGGGCCCCATGAGCTCAGTTTGTGTTTAGGAGGCTTGGGGGGGATTAAAAGGTTTGTGGTGTCGTGCGGTTTGGCGGTCTCACATTCTGGTTTAGGACCTACTAATTCAGTGGCTTTAGGGATGTTTGGGGCCGATCGTCTAATTGGGGTTGTGTTGCAATGGAACAAGCGGCGCCTGAAGCGAAGAATGGCTACATGGCGTCATATTTGAAGCCTATCCAAGCGATTTAGTCCAACCTATTGTTGTTGGCCGAAATCATGCATTATCACACTGTCCTCTAGTACCTTGATCTATGTGTGTGAAGAAAGCTGTGTGAATGCGGTATATGCCTCATTCTGGACAATTCAGGATTTCGTCCTTTCGGCGCCTGGTACTGTAGGTTAGGATGTGAGGCGAAGGGAGACCAAGAGAAGCTTTCAGAGCTTCATGCGACCAGATTTGCTTTTGCCAGACCTTCGCGGTCCTTACCTTGTTCATGTTCCCTGTGCTTGCATCATCCGAGAGCCCAGAGAATCTCATGAAGCATGCATCCGTCGACAGCTTTCCCAAAATCCCAATAGCCTTAAGCCCTCTACTGGTCCCCTAATGCAGGCAACATCAATGCTCTTGCCGATGCATATCGTCGTGTCGGAGGCTCGCGCCTCTCAGTGTTTTTCAGCTGGCCGCTTCGGTCTTGTCACGGTGCCTCTGTCAACATGACTTTGCTATGCTGTCAGCGGGCATCTTGACTGTTTTGTGTCAACTGGCAGGAGCTTTCCAGGCTGCCACCACTTGTTTGGAATTCGTAGAGGTTTAGGGTGTAGGGTTTAGGGAGGTGTTCGGAATTGCAGCGCAGCGGACGGGAAAGGGGATATTTAGAGCCTCCTGAGTTGACGGTGCAGTCCCGGGTTCCGGGTCAGTTTGGGAGTTTAGGGTGTCGGTTTCGGGTAAAGGAGTGTAGTGTTTTGGTGACATTGTGGACCGGCAGAGCATCAATGCCCTGGTGTGAGAATGGGTGAAGTTTCGATGCTGGCACGAATGTGTGTCCATCTGGAAGTTAGAGCCAGGATTTGCAGCCTTTCCGGCACCTTGAAAGCCATAGCGAGCAGATGGCATCAACAAAAGAAAGACCTGAAATCTCGGACGAAACAAGCTCATTGGTGAATCCCTAAGATGCTTTGCTGTGAGACTTGTCGCAACCTTTTTGTTACTTGTAGAGCAGTTGCATGTGTGTCGCACTCACGACATTGAAGGCTCTGAAGTCGATGACGCACCCCTCCTGTTCTCCTTCCGTTGGTATCCTGTACCCCCAACCACAATCCGACTTGCCGACTTGACCAGGGCTCCTCTGCAGAGTTCTGGATTTGAGGCAGGGCCTCAACGCTTAGATGCAGCTTTTTGGCGTGGAGAGTGCTCACTAGATGCGCTGCTTTGAGACGACAACCTCCTGCGACAGCTATTAGGGTCATGCATTTGTGCTACTAATTGTCGCGAGCCCTGTTTCAGCACCGTGTTTCACATCCACCGTGTAAAAATCTGCCTTTTTCATTTCATTGAAACTACTACCTTCAGAGTTTGTGGTTGTGGGAACATGATGTGTATTGGAGATGCATTTCTGCGTAATTGCAGTCTGCACCGCTTTATCGCTGAGTATTCCCTGAAGTGCTTAGAGCCACAGCCGAGCCAGATCCGGCATTCCGCCTTCGGCTCCAGGGGATGGCATGGCCATGGCACGGAGAACCCCCCCCCCCCCCACGTGAAAGCCCAACGCAGCTTTCCCAGAACCCTAATCTTCAAGAAACCTTTGACCCGAGATCTTAAGCCCAAAAGCTTTCCTGAGCCTCCGTCAACCCGCTGCACGATGCCCAAGTTTCTCGCACGGACCCCGAACTCCCGTCAGCATTCAGCCAAGACTTCACACACACACACACACACACACACACACTGGTTGAAACCACTGCACTTAGCACCTGAAAGCCTTTTCACCCAAAGTTCTGCTCATGCCGCCGGCAGGTCCCACTGGGACTGCCAACTTCGATCTGACGAAGGATCCTGGCGCGGAAAAGCGGACCGTCGTCTGCTTCATGGAGTCCGGCCCTCAGTGTGACGGGCATGAAGTTTGATAGGCGAAGAGTTGCTCTTGTGGTGATGCAATGCCGCCTTGTGTCAAACTCACTGAATTGACAAACCCTAACGGGGGTCTTGACCAGGCAGGTTTCGACAGGCATGGAGGTTTCTTTATGCATCGATTGTGGCCAAGCCACGCTGTTGAAGCTCATTGTGCCGGTATCGTGAGTGCTCAGACCTTGCATTTTGAAGGGTTGTAGCCCAGAAGGCAGATGACAAACCATTTTAAGTAACACATGTGTCTGAAGACGAGTACTCGACATCATCGCCAATGAATTCAGAAGGAGAGGTGAGAGAGCGAGAGAGAGAGAGAGAGAGAGAGAGAGAGAGATAGAGAGAGAGAGAGAGAGAGCGAGAGAGAGCGCACCCTGCAAGCAAAAAGAGCGAGCCTCGAGATGGAGATGGAGACGGAGAGGAAGAGGGAGGGAGGGATTGAAGAACAAAGCTGCAAGAAGGTAGCGCGCACGGACTGAGGCGAGAGCTTGATACGGTGCAGTAGGCAGGAGGAGGGGGCCCTTTAATCCCATCATCAGGCCTTTAAGGGCTTAACGGCCCATCTGGGCAACGCGAAGCGACGACCCCGTTCCTGAGAGTGCAGTTGTGTTGCTCCGAGAGGATGCTTGTTCTCACACTATGGCACAAGCCTTGAAACAACAAACGCATATCCCCATAACGCTAAGGACTCACTGTTCGTCCCGTGTCATCCTGTGCCGTCACTGTCTGTTGGTCCGTTTGCAACCAAGGCTCCTGAAGCACGCAATGCCGGGCGAACACCTGGGCATAGCATACAACACAGTGCAGATCCAGGAGGGCCGCGAGTGCTTCCACCAGTCAACATTGACCGTCACCGCTGAAGACGAGGATGGAGGGGTCCGTATGCATGGAGTGGACGCGAGTTCAGGGGCCCTGTGGAAAGGAAGAAGATGTCCGCAGATCATGCCGCGGCCAGTTTATTTCTTGCAGACGCTGACGTCCAACAAACTGCTGCAAACCTGGGCCCCAGCCGACACAAAGAAAGGGGCCACAAGCGTCTCCAGGAAAAGCAATGGACAACGTGCAAGAGAGGTAACTTTGTTCAGCCGCCTTAGGTCCGGACGGGGAGTGGTTTGTTAGTTACAACGGCGAAGACTGGTCTACCTTCTTCGGCAACGTGTCCGACTTATTCACTGCAGCGCTGCATGCCACGGATGGCAGGATGCAGATCTCATGGGTAGCCTTCGGCGCAGCTCGTTGATAATTACTGCATGCCACAAAAAGTCCGAGATTCTGCGCGAGGTGACATCATTGCGTGCTCAGCAGTTTAGGGATTGTCTGATGCAGTTGACAGGGTTCTTGGAGTTTCGGGTTGGAGTTGGAGTTTGAAGGGTTCATTAGTTCAGGCTTCTCGCACAAAACAATCCAAGAAGCTTGTGTTCAATGAGATTCAGCAAATATACGAGTTTCTGGGCACCAATCGCAACAAAATACAATGCACAACGTCGTTGACAAAGTCAATTAGGGTTCATCTTGGGCAAGCCATGGTGACGAGGATGCATTGCCACTAGCTTTACAGGGCTGGGCTTGTGGATTCCCGGAGTATGCATGTAGTGAGGTTTAGCTGCTGTGCCCTTAATCATGACACTGACTGTGGGTTCACATGTAAGTCTTGCCTGAGTCTTCGGCTTTAAGAAAACCGCACCTAGAGCTTTTGCTGTGTGTTTGCACGGGTCCCCCCTCGTGTTGCGAATGTTCGACTTTCGACGATTTAATTCCGTCCAACCTGTAAACTCCATACTAAACCCCAAAAGCCCCCCCCAACCTTAGCCCCCAAACCCGACTTGTTGAAGGTGTTCACCCGGGTGGCCATACCCTGCAGCGAAGCTCACGCAAAATGTTTTCTATGGCTGGGCGCAGAGGCGACTCACGATCTCAACGAAGCAACAAGAGAACCGACAAACCAACAAACGACCTGTACAGCTTTACAAGTTGTTGGTTACAGTACACATGGCTCAAGAGGCTTACCTTTCGTAGCCTTCCCCTACGAGCCGAAGCATAACAGCGCACAAACACTTGCAGACTACAGGTACCTAGCAGCTATACAAGGGCCCTGAAAGCTAGCCACAACTGCAAACTACAAGTGCTGATCACTGACATGCTGGAGCGTTTTCAACACTCCTCCTTGGCTCGCTCGTCAGGGCGACGCCACAAGCTGCGTATTTACAGCATGTCATCTTCGCCTGACCTCGAACCTTCTGGCACCTCAGCGTGTTTAGAGACCTGTGCGGTGGCGGTCTCTGCAGACGCGGCACAAGTTGCGGGTGGTTAAGGGTGTATTACGCCTTAAACACCCAACAAGTCTGATCTAGAGGCTAGCTGGGTGATCAGTCCAGTTTGCCGTTTTGCATAAGTAATAAACAAAACTTTCTCGAGGATATCCAAGACTGTACATAGAAGTGCACGTAGGGTACAAATTAGGGTTTCGAGTGGCCTGGCTGGTTTACCCCCAGCACACAAGCGAGTGCTACAGGCCTTCCGCACACAGGTTCGGGACTACGAGTACCTATTAATTCGGGTCACCCAAACCAGTTAAGGTCTGACAGGGGACCGGCTTTCGCTGCTGCAAGGAGTTGGCTCATCACGACAGCTCCTCCTGGGCTTGTACCTCTGAATTAACACAGGGCCAAGTGCACATATGCTCTCTTTGGCTTGAGCGGCACTACCTGCTTTTCAAAACAGCGTGGCTGAAGCAAAAGGCTTCAACACACGGCCTACCCTTAGGGTGGCTGCACTCCCTCTAAACTGCACCATCATTTGAGCGCGGACCTCATGCATCAAACAACTGATTGGTTGGCAGCGCGGCAACTGCCTGACAAATGCCTTGAAGAACCTGGGGCGAAACAGTTGTTGAGTCTTGCGTTGGGGCACTTGGCAGTGCGAGTTGAAGCTGCGATGATGGCTGCTCCTCCTGGGTTGAAAGCTGGAGGGAATGATGAGAAGCTTGAGGACCTGAAGCGTGCGAAGCGTGCTGTGTTGCCTGCACGACCTGAAGCGCAGCCTGAAACACAGTCGCCAACGCTTGCAGTAAGTCTTGACGGCCTGGGATTGCTCCCGGCTGTAATCTCCTGCCAGTGCCAGCTGCAAACTGCAGCTTGTCCTGCTCCTCCTCATTCGAGCTACTCTGGTGTCCAGAGCTAGAGGACCGAGTACCGGCACCTAACAACCCTAACAACAAACCAGTTAAACCCTGAGGCTCAGCGGCAGGAGGAGGAGGAGGAGGAGGAGGAGTTGAGGAAGGGACAGGGGTCAGTGCATCCCCGGACGTTGTAGCAGTGCGCGAACCAAGCCCACTATCACCAAACCTACTAAAACTCACCTCCTCAGCACCCACCTGCTGCAACGCCGGCGCCTCATATCCACCAGCCTGCTGAGACTGAATCCTCCAGACTTCAGCCTCAGCACGACCGGTTTTCTCCTGTTCCTTTCGCAAGCGCTGCTTCAACCCTTCAAGCTGTGGCGCCACTTCTGCCTGAATCGCATCATGCGGAATAGATGAGGACTCGGTGTGGGGATGCCTGTCTGGAGACCCGTAGAGCAAGGGAGCCCTTTGCTCCATGGCAGCAAGCTGCTGCGCGTTGGCACCAGTGAACAACGGCATCGGCACTTGACACTCATCTTGCAGGACGCGGCCTCCTCTCTCGAGGGGCTGTAGTGGTCGCGACGGCCTTGGAGGAGAAGTCAGTGGACTGGGAGCCCACCCTTGCGGCAGTGGCTGTACGTTCGCCGCGCCACCAAACAGAGACTGCACTCTTCCTAGCAACTGACTAGCAAAAGCCTGAGCCCCAGTCTGCATGACCGCTGACGCCCCGTACGCCGTTGATCTGGGCGTTTCAAAGCCCTCAGCACTACTTCCAGGATTCGCTGCAGATGGGTTGTACCCTGAGACGCCTGCGGCAACATTGATCTGAGCGCTAGCCATTCCACTTTCGGTGGCCACACTGAAACCCTGAGTCACTGCAGTTGCATCTCCATGTACCCCACTCGCATCAGCGACCTCCGTGGTAGATACTGCTTCATACGTAACGCCAGCTGTGCCCAAGCCTCCAACCTGGCCTAGTGTTCCATCGCCTCCTGTCCTACCGACTGCTGAAACTCTCGGTTGGCCGGCTGTTCCAACAGTTTCTTGTGGCAGCTGAGGGGATGGCACTGGACCAGCTGTGGAAGTCGATGGCCCCGACGACGCATCCATCATAGTTTGCTGGATTCCATCCCCAATAGGCTGCGCAAGCCCAGAGGGCGATGGCACTCCAACTCCGGCGGTTGTACCATTCACTGTAGTCTGCGGTGCATCCCCGCCTCCCCGCACTCCAGGCAGAGAGGCCGGAGAAGCCGCCGCTCCGGTTGCTTCTGGCCCAGGCGTTGGGCTCATCACCTGTTGAAGGTGTTCACCCGGGTGGCCATACCCTGCAGCGAAGCTCACGCAAAATGTTTTCTATGGCTGGGCGCAGAGGCGACTCACGATCTCAACGAAGCAACAAGAGAACCGACAAACCAACAAACGACCTGTACAGCTTTACAAGTTGTTGGTTACAGTACACATGGCTCAAGAGGCTTACCTTTCGTAGCCTTCCCCTACGAGCCGAAGCATAACAGCGCACAAACACTTGCAGACTACAGGTACCTAGCAGCTATACAAGGGCCCTGAAAGCTAGCCACAACTGCAAACTACAAGTGCTGATCACTGACATGCTGGAGCGTTTTCAACACGACTCCTTAACTCTGACCACCCACGTCCTAAACTCGAGACCCCTGAACCTGCAACCATCCTAAACCTCTGTAGGACCTCGGAGCCAGTCCCGCAAACGGGGCTTGAAGTTGAATTCAGGTGTGGTTCACACGGCACCTTGTTGACTTAAACAGCATGAGTGTGGATAGCGTGCCGTCCTGACTTGGGAATGTCGGTAGATTCCAGAAATCTTGATGGCCTGCATCGTGACGATCTGTGCTTGCATCATCCAAGCGTCCGTAAGAGTGCACCTCCAGAAGCCTACAAAGCTATAGTTTAGGCGTTTTCCCTACACTCCGATAGCCCAATGCTTGACATACAGGTCCTAAGCCCCAAGGCTTAGCGCACATCCGGAAGCGGCCCCGGGTGCAGGCAACACCCTGTTCTCCCAGATGCATACCAGCTGCATCAGGGGCGCATGTCTCAGTGAGATCCAGCTTTCCTCTGCAGGTTCTGATGGTGCATGCTGTCAGCAAACATCTTGATTGGTTCGTGACGACTAGCCAAAACAGTAGTAGTGACCTACACTCTACAGGACTGCCACTGGCTCTTTGTTATTCCTGGCGCTTTCAGCGTGCCGGAGAGGGCACCGAGATACTCGGAGTAGGGCGAGTTTAGAGCCGCGAAGGCAATGGAGGGTGGGGATGTCATGATGCCGGCACGTGTCGCGCGAGGGTAGCCCAGTACGGGTGTTTGGTTTCATGTAAAGATTGCTGCGCTCATTGTCAGCTGTCAGTGTTAATGGTACCATGTGAATGACACAGGATGTCGGTTATAGATCCTTTATAGAACCCTTGTAGAACCCTTATAGTAACCCTTATAGGAACCATTAAAGGAACCCTTATAGATCCCTTGTAAAACCCTTAGGCCGCTGCCCACCCTTGTCAGACCAGTCGCAAGCTCAACTTTGCCGATGAGCTGGGCAGCATGCAGTCCCTGACGGAGGTGGGTGCCTCGAGATGTCTACATTGTGTTCAGTCACAGGTGGAATGCCATAAGGTCATAAGGACGTCTGATGCTATCATGTTTGGATCTTTCGAATCAGCGTAACGACAGAACGATGGAGCAATTATCTTTTGAATTCCTGAATTGGTGTTCCGATTGTATAAGTGCTGTGATGATCTGCCAGCCATGGGAGACCCAACCCAAGCCCACAAGCCTTGAAACTAGAGAGGACGGCAACTGGACATGTGCTGCAGGCGTTTCCTGCGAGGTTGTGTTGGAAGACTTCACAGGCTGGATATGACGGCTGCAGGTTTCATTTAGGCATGGGTTCACGCATGCTTCATCCTAAGCTCGTCTGAGTGATCTGACAAAATCGTCTAGCTTTCTGTCGGCAGCTGCCAGCAATCTCGAAGGCCCGCATCGCGAGGTTCGGGTAACGTGCCCGTACGGTCTGGGCCGGCAAGTATTTTCCTTCCTTACAGTTTGGGACCGTCTGGGATACCCAGTTGATTTCGTCCAGATATCGCTGATGCCAGAAATCCTGCATTACTCTTATAAGAACCTTGAATTATGTGAAATGAACGGAGTGAAGTACTAGTGCGGTGCGTTTCTCGTTCTGGACAATGCAGGATTCTGTCCATTTGCCATCTGATGCTGTAGGTTAGGATGTGAGGCAGGGGGGAGACCAAGAGAAGCTTTCATTTTTCTTGCACCAGACATGGTTTTGACAGACCCTTAGCCGTCTTTACCTTGTTGCCTGTGCTTGCATCATCCGAGAGCCCAGCGCACCTCAGGATGCCTGCATCCGTCCACAGCTTTTCCAAACTCCCAGCAACCCTAAGCCCCATATTGGCCCAAGCCCCAAACCCTACACACTAAGCAAACCCAACATCCCAACTGACATCTGCAGCCCCAGATGCAGGCAAAATCAATGCTCTTGCTGATGCACACCGTCGCATCAGAGGCGCGCCTCTCGGTACTTCCAAGCTGTGTCATGGTGCTTCTGTCGACGTCGCTTTGCTATGCTCTGAGCGAGCATGTTGAAGCCCATACCCTGAACTACACCCAGATGATCGCCAATGAACCTCTTCATGCGGTCCTAAGTGCAGACAATGCGATTCTCACCTTCGCAGCGGACCAGTGATTTTGGGCACAGAGACTCTAGATAGCACCGCAAGCCGTCCATGACTTACGGTGGAGTAGCTCATCTGACATCTGTACTGATGTGCTGCGGATGACTGGGTAATCCCCGGTCCACAGAGGATTTCTCCATGTTTGTTTGTCTGTGCACGGGGTTTACTTTGCCGTGCCTCGGGAAATCGTGTTTCGAGACCATGCGGTTGACCTGCAACCGTCGTAGGAACATTGTAGATGGAAAACAGTGTAGACAGTTCAGCACCACCCACTGCTTGGCTTCGGTTTTTTGATGACAATCATCCACCCCAAATTGTACGAATGTCGAAGTGGCAGAGCTGCTTTTTGTTTTCGGACCCACCCGGAAGAGCTGTGATTGAGGATGTAGTGAGGCTTGCAAGCGAGGCATCTGAAAAACCTGCGCATTCTACGAATCTCGAAGTTTCAGAGCTGTCTTTCTGGCGGGTTAGCAAGGATCTGCAAGCCAGTAATCACAGTAATCTTGCAGCCCTTTCGCAGTTCGGGCCGTGTCTTCCTACCGCTACCGCCACGGCTGCTGCCGCTGAGGCTGCTTCTTCCTCTCTTGCTGCTACTACTGCTGCTGCTGCTGCTGCCACGCTTTTCGTTTCCACTGCTTGTGAACAGCCGTAAACACGAAGGGATGAAAGGACAAGGATGTATTGGGAGATGTCTTTGCTTCTGCACTTACATGTACGGCTGTGCTTCATTGCGAGCCTGGGCCTTGTCGTGCGTATTCGCGCAAGGCAGCCTTCCACTTTTCGACTCTGATTCTGCACATCTGATCATAGGCCAAAGTGCCGGTCAGGAGAAAGCTTTGGCAGCTGCCATGCAGGACCAGGCCTGGACAGAGGAGTGCTTAGGGTGTAGGGCTTGGGCTCATGGTTGACCATGGATCTGATCAGACTGCCAAATTTCTCGCTTCACGCTTGCATTGATTCATCGAGGGGTTTCCCAGGGGGTGTCTGGGCCTTGAAGCTTCGGGCGGCGTAGGCTGCAGGGCGTTTGGCATTTTTTCTGCGAATACTATACTTAGAGTCGGCGTTCTGCGGCTTGGACCAGGCGGACAGGTTTGGGGTTTGGTTTTGGTTGAAGGATTTTTAGGTGTGGGCGTGGCGCCGGAAGCATGAAAGAGTATCATCTTCATTCTTGCACCTTCCTAAAACGTTGAATTTAACTTTAGGTTGTTCGGATTTTAGTGTTCCTAAGAACCCTGCACCTGGAGCCTGGAACAGGCAGCCATGGTGCTCGACGGCTTGCCGCACTCCTTGCTGCTCTGCGCGACTCGCTTGTGATTTACCAAGATTTCCTCACACTTTCCATGGAGGTTCAATTCTCTTGATATGTCAAAAAATCGCTACGGGGGCGTAAGGTATGATGAGCCTCAAAAGGATCATGTCGTGTCCATTGTTGCACATTGTGCTTATCGACTGCAGATTCTCCACATAATTTTCATGATGAGGTCTTGACTTGCGCTTAGAACCTTCTGGGAAATGTTGCGAGAATACTGCCGAGCCTGCGCACATCGTTGCAGGGAACATTGTGCAGGAGTTGCAATCGCGCACAATGGTGCACAATCGTGGTGATCCGTGGCATGCAAAATGCCGTTGCGTGCGCGCATGGTAATTTCAGAAAACATGACAAAAGTTCAGTAACAGCTCTGGGGAAGCAAGCGCCCATAAGTCCCCCGTGTGAGGGGCCCCATGTGCGACACTGAAGGAATGGCCTGTGACATGCTGCAGTCTGAAAATGGCCGGCCCAGCAATTACCAAGATCCTGACAGCCCAAGTCCTAGCAGATCACGGGTTACGCGAGCATACTTGCAGGATTGGCCAGGCCCGCCGCCCGACACCCTCGCGAAGCCCCGAACTCTTGTTTGCGCGTCTCTGACCGCAGGTCTTGCTCTAGTAAATGCATTCCCGCTCCAAACACGCCAACACCCACCCCTTGAACATGTAAGGTAGTACGAGTGTTAATGAGGCAGAGGAGGAAGCGAAGAAGAAGGAGGAAGCCGAGAAGGCTCGCGCAAAGGCGACGCAGGCTTTTGCGCTTGCCGCGCAATCACTGGGGTCTCAGGCAGGACCGCATGTTGCTACACCCTATCTCCGACTGTGCTTATCCAGAAGCAGTTGCTGTGGTGACACCTGCACGTTCTTGAGCTTTTGTGAGGCGGGCCTGCTGACAGGGTTCCTATGCTGCACTGGTGTATTCCTTTACAAGGGTTCCTTTAAGGGCTCTTTTAGGTGGCTTTAGGGTCAAAGGAGTCATAGGGTTTGGGGTGTAGTGATGGTTGCATGGCGTTTCATTTGTAGCGTAATTCTTCGGTGTGCAGATATTCAATGCGCAGGTTTTCGGGGGTTCCATGTTAGGTTGTTTTAGGCTTAGGGCTTCTGGGCTTCCCGGATCCATTTCCAATTAAGTCAAGTCTCCTAATTAGTTACATCGAGAGCTCTTCACCTCGGGTTTGGTGATTTATGATCCAGAGATTCCAGCATGCACAGATTAAGGCAGATCTCCAGGCCAGGAATGGCAACTGCTCAGGGTTCAAGGTGTCCTAACATTCTCCCCTGTCTTGAGCCCTCTCTGAGCTTTCTCTCCGGAATGACCATTCGCCAGGTTTATAGTGATTTGTGAGCGTTGAAACTATAGGCTTGTTGAAGGGCACATTACTTTACATTGACATGTCATGACCCCCTGAACCATAAAGCCTTCATTATGTGTATGCCCCATTTCCCAAACTGTCGTACCTCCACGTCGTCACAAAACCCCACTATAGATGTTCAGGAGTCCGGTTCTTTCAACAGGGTGTACGGAATGGGTCTAGCATGCCCATGCGTCCTTTGTGAGTTTCAGAAAGAGCGGATCCAAAAGCATGTCCAACGCAATGGGGTACTGAGGATCGTTGCAAAAGCCACGCCCTCCCAACGAGCACCTTCGCCTGGGTAAACCTGTCAATCTAAGCTCGATGCCTTGGAGGAACAAGAAAACTGAAACTAAACTTCACATTCCAACCCGGCCTCCCAGGTGGGAAGATGCCCTGAACCTTAAATAGTACGCCCTACAAGCCCCATAATTACTCCGTAAATCCTGGACTGTAGCTTCAGCCCCTTGCCGTCAGAAGCGAATATCGGAATCCTTGTTGACCCCTGTTTGACACTAAAAAAAGTGTTTAACGTTTTGGGACCCTTCTAGAATTTTAGAATCATCCACAAGCCTGCTTTTCTGAGGAACCCAGCCGTCATGAGGGCGTTTGCACGCGTCCCCGGCCCAAAAAACTTTCTGGATATTTGGAGGGTTGCAGGGTTCGGAGTGTTAAATGAGAACCTCAGTTGGAGTAGTGGTGTGATCTGTTTCCAGAACAACCATGCCAGGGCCTAAACCCTAAGTCTTTCACGCGTTAACTTAACCCTAAACCAAACCCTAAAAGCTTGCCCCCCAACTGATCCAACTGTCCCGACACCGGGTTTTAGACTCTAGGATGTCGAAAGGTTATCTAGCATTCTTCCCAAGCACGCCGCTTCGGTACATGCCAGCAGTTGGGCAACCTTGAGCTTCATCATTGTGGTTGCTTCACGGATCAGTGGATTTGGATTTTGATGGCGTTCTATAGGCTCTGTATGTGAGGTAACCTATATAACTTACAGCCGTAGACTGAGTCCTCTGAGCCTCCAAGCAGGCGTTCAGCATGCAGGGTGTTCGGGTTTTCGGGGACTGGGGATTTAGGGTGTTGGGGCTGGAAGAATCGTGGGTACTTTACTGAAAGCAGTCGGCGTTTTCGCGGGTCGCATCTCTACACTAAACCCTGAATTTCAAAAAGTAAACCCTTGATAGCCCTGATCCCTGAGTGCTGAATCCAAACCCGTACCGCTAGCCCTAGACCGGAAACTGACGCATGGAAGCTCGTGGCGCGGCAAGTCAACAATGAAGCTGAAACCTTGACAACTGAACTGTAAACCTCAAAGAATCTGCAAACCGCTTGCGTGTGGGACTTAGCGTCATGTTGCTGGTTCGTGACACACATTCCACGGTTAGGGTCCAGGTCGCAGCAGCAATCCTTGACTGTAGAGTCCTGGAGGTCTCAAACTTAGTCGCAATATCCTTCTACGAAATTAACTCTACTCTAAATACTAATGCCGCCTCAAACGTTATCTCAGCATCATGTTCCCTGGATCATCGACGCATATTCTTTTAATCTTAACCCGCATGAACACCTTGATCAAGCCCCGACAACGCGCTATGAAGACCCCGCGTGTTACATCATATGAAGCTCCTCATCTTACAAAGCCCAAAGCACCACTCCCGTACAAAGCCTTTCTAACCGTATATTTACACTCCCTGCACGAACCTGGAGAACCCTGATCCTCGTCTTTCAGGTTCTTGCGGCGACGTTGGGGTGGCACCCGCTCCGCAGGACTGGGCGTCACGACAGGTTCAGGGAGTGCTTATCAATGTGTGTAATTGTGTTTCGTTTTTGTGGTTGTTTTTTAGCGGCTTGGGGCGGGCTCAGGATTTCCAATTTTAGGTTTGGGATTCTGTTGAATTCACCATTCGGGATTTGGGGGGTCTCGGGCTTTAGGGGTTTGGCTGAGTTTAAGGTTTAGTTCAGGGCCCAGGGTTTACGATTTTGGGTTTGGGAGCCTGCGCGTCTAAGGTTCAGGGTTTCGCGGTCTAGGAATGAAGGTTCAGGCCCTGAGAAATAGACCTCAAGACCACAGAATCTCAAACCCGACCCGTTAATCCCCGCCCACCTCCCCCAATCCCCAATGCCAAATTCTGAACCGCAACATTGAAGCCCCAAAAGACCAACAGTAATCGAAACCCTTGAAACCCAAGCCCAAGGCCTTAAAACTTTAAAGCACCAACGCTGTGTAGAACCCTTCTGAGAGCTGATAGACCCGTAAAACTCCTGTTTTCCCAGCGACACTCCGAGCGATTGTAGGACCATGGTCACCTCCAACCAATCCGTTCCCGCTCAGCTTGGCTGGGGTTCCTGTGAGGGTTTACTTTCAGGGGATAAGGTTATCAAGACGGGTTTCTGTAACACTTCGACATGTAGGTTTCAACACGGGGTTAGGATGAGTTTATTACTGGGAGGATGTTGAGATGTTGAGTCGGGTTCAGCGTTCAGGGTTGGCTGTTTTGAGGTCCAACGGGCTGTGTGTTATTTGGGTAAGGATGTTCCCAGTGGCTTTAGGCTACTTTCTGGGTACTCTATCGGGATCAACTGGGCCGCCTTAGGGGTTGTATTTTGTGCCGTTCGACCTGACCTCGCATCCAGGCCCAGCGTATATCTTTCGCAACGGTCCCAACCGACAGTCCACATCGCCGATGACGGGCCCGCAACCGCCGTATTTAGTGGTGAAAAGAGCAACAGAATCAGCCGAAGGACTGTAAGCCTTCCGCCCTAACCCTAAGCCGCCTAAGCCATCCTAAATCGCGCGGGCTTGACCGCAGGTATACAGTATGCAGACGCACTGCTGCAGGCCTGAACGAAAGCTTGAGTTGGCTTATATAACTTTGAATTTGAAGAGCCCAGGATTTTCGGATGTCGGCGCGTTTTAAGGTTGTGTAGTTTCGTCGATGAGAGCCTGAAACACGCTATTTTCTGGTTCCGAAACATGCAATACGTACTAGATCGGGGAGGCTGACAGTCGAATTACAACCGGCCTGGCCTTGAACGGGATGCTTCCTTTACGGTAAACTGTTGGGATTAAGGTCCTGGGCTTGAGGATTGAAGGTCAGCTACTTCTCTTCAGAAGGATCAGGCATCCTATCCCCGGCAAGAGAGGCTGCAGAATACCTTCAACTTAGGAAGGTTCTTGATGCTATTATAAGAGTCCTTCATACGAGAGTCCGAATTACCTTCTAAACCATTTCTAAACCCGTTATAACGTCAGACTCCTGAATTTAAAGGAATCCGTTTAATATGGAAATCTTGCGACAAGCGAAGCTCCCCCGCAACCCTGGTTAGTGCCTGGTGGCGCTTTACAGATCCGAAAATTTGGAAACTTAAGGCGGCCAAGTGGCAGCCTTACAGTTTTAAACGCCAAGAGCCTAAGCCCCTACATTTTTTAGCGTCGGCGTGGATACTATCAAGCCTGCGAAACAGTGGCGACGACCCTAAACGCATCAGAAGGATCAGAACCGTCCGGCCAGGGAGTTAGACGCGGCGGTCCGCTTTCGCTTGCCAGGCCGGCTGGCGGAAACCAACCTGGAGCTTCCCGCGCGTCAAAGCGTTCGTGACGAGCAAGAGCTGGATCTTCATTGCAGCAGCAGCGGCAACAAACAACATCAACAGCATAACGCCTGAACCCTTAAACCCAAAGCCGTGTATAGCTGGCAAAGATGGTGTGAGGAACAGACTCGTGATCTTGGAGATCAAGTTTTTTCCAAACACGAGAAGCCGGATCTGCAAATTGCGAGTACTTAAAGAGTGAAGTGCTGAAGGATTTGTTGGAGAGGATCGAAGATGCGCCGTTGGTCTATGCTGATACGCACACTCCCCGCAGAACCGTGAAGCCTTGATGAAACTCGTTCCGCGAACCCGAAACCTAAGCTTCTAGAACAGCACCGCTGAAAGACTAAATCCTGCCCTCCTCGTAATTGTGAGGGACATGCCAGAACTCCAAGAGTTGAAGGTGCGTCAGGTAAGGCAGGATTTGCCCGTCAGCATCAGCTCCACGTCCAAAACCAGAAGTGACTGCGCGAAGCTTTCAACGCTGAAACTTGAGCTCATCTCTTATAACCGGCAGGTTTCTTCGTACATGTTTTGGTGGTTTGGGGGGTGTTGAAGTGTAAGTAACAGGGTCTACGACGTTTCTGGTTTCGGGTCTGTGGTGTTAGCTTTAGCTGCCGAGAAGTTTAGGGTTTAGGGGTTTAGGGCCGTTTAGCATTTAATTTTCAGCATCAGAGTGTGCTTTCGTCTTTTCTGTTTTTTGCCGCCGCAGGTGTACCGGAGCTGTTCCGAGGATGGGACACAGGCAGAACAGAGTGAGTGGTTACCATTCCAATTTGTTTGCCAAGGTGTTGAAGCAGTTCCACAGTGCTTGTGTTCGGTCATTGATGTGCGGGGTTGTTCTAACGGTCAGCAGGTTGTTTTGGGAGAGTTGCTAGGGCTTTATTGAGTCTTCTTCTGTACCTTAGGGTTTGCTGTGTAGTTTTCTTTTTTTAGGAGATACCCTGTAATCACTGTATTTAATTTAATTTGTAACCCTACAGCCCTAGATCCTCCAACGAATCCAGCAACAAAGAATAACAAAGAAGGCTCTTCCCCTCGCCGACGCCATCCGTTGGCGATTAAGACAGAGACGCTTCCGAACTCCAGACGGGCTTTCTTTTGAAGAGGAGGTTCCTTCCCGTAAGATCGTTGATAACTGCAATACAGTTATGGGCCACCATAGGCGTTGCCAGGAGTCGAACTCGGAGTGTGGAGTCTGAGCCCGAGACTCCCAGGATCTTCAACATCGTGACGCGCCTGTCGGAAGAGGAGGTCCGGAACAAACAGAAGGCTCTGGCCCAGGCCGGCCCAGACTTCAGAAGAACAGCAAGGAAGTAGCAGATAGGGTTTTAAGCTTTAAGGGGAGTCTCAGAAATCTAAGGCCTAGGACAGGCTTTTACATGGATTGCTATACAGGTTTCTCAAAAGGGGTTTATTGTAACAGGTTCTGCAAGGGGTTCTATGCGATGCTTAGAGTTCAAGGGCCTAGTACGGGGTTTACAATTCAATATAACGTTCATAAATATACGGCTTTAAGCTTTTTACAGGGGCCTTCACTGGATGTTACACATTGTTCAACGCTTTTGGGCTGGGTCTACAAGCAACATCCTAAGGGTCGTTTGGTGATTTCCCCAGTCTGAATCATGAAAAGTATCCTTGTTGGTGAGGGAATACGAGGAACCTGGAGGGTGTTAGAGAGACCGTCATAATGTAGACCCCCCGAACCGTAGAGTCCTTACAACACTGAGCTCTGAGGCGTTAATCTAGAGCCCCACTACTGGCCGGAAGCTCTCACACAAACCATTGTTCAACCTCTCCAAGAACTCACAAAGCCCTCGGAAGACGCGCTTAACACAGCATGAAGCCCTTATGCCAAATCAAGACCAGACTACCGAGCCCTTTCAGCAGCGTAAAGCCTGATTACCCCTGTGATACGGGAGCCTAGTTTTGAGAAGCCCGCAGGAGTCATGTTCCATGGGCGCCTCTCGGCCAAGCTGGTGCCAGGGATCTCTGTGTTTGTTTTTTGGTTTGGGGTTTGGGACTAGGGAGCCTAAGGGTCTTTGGGAGGGTTGGTTTGAGGCCTCTGAAACCCTAAACCACCACTACGGCCCAAAACCTTAACTTCCTTAAGCAACCCTAAAATAACCCTCACAGCCCAAAACCCTCTAAAACGCTTCACTAGGTCTTGCCCAGAGGTCCATCCTTTACAGCGGGCACCAGCGCCCCCGAATTCGTGCCAGGACGTGTGATCGGTGCCAGGGCCTGTAATATATAGACCCCAGAATCGTATACGGAGTCCTGAAGCTTTAATCCAGACTCCAATAGTAGAATCCTTAATTTGTGATTGTCTTTAGTGTGCTTACCCCGGCCTGAATAATGCATTGCCCGTGGGGTTAACAAGGGGGGTTGCATGGGGGCTGTTGGAAATTGAAGAAAATGTGTGATTGTCTTTCGTGTCATGAGTCTCCTTTATGCGTGTTTCGGGTCTTGGGATTTTTGGGAGGGTTGTTGTGGATTTTAGGGTCCTTGAAATTCGTAATCGGGATGCCTGCGGTTTTATGCGGGTCTACAAAAGTGTCGGTTCACCCCCAACCAAATCCCTCAACCCACCCAAGCCTTGAAACCCAAAACACCCATTGATGTCCATAGCTGAAGCGCGTGAAGCGCGTGACGACTTTAACGGCGTCAGCGGCGTCAACGGCGTCAACGGCGTCGACGACGTTGAAGACGTTAACGTCGTCAGCGGCGTCAACGGCGTCGACGACGTGAACGGCGTCAACGGCGTCAGCGGCGTCCACGGCGTCGACGACGTTGACGACGTTAACGGCGTCAGCGGCGTCAGCGGCGTGAACGGCGTCAGCGGCGTCAACGGCGTCAACGGCGTCGACGTCGTCAGCGGCGGGTAGTGCTGGTATTGTGGAGAGTATGCACATTGTTTATATCTCAAGACAGTAACAGTACCACATAAAACAACAGCACCCTGCCCACAGTGTAAATTTAAACCTACATCCAGGTCCCGTGATGGTGGCTGACTGTGAGCTCGATGGGACGATTTTTGTTCACACTGACGTTGTTTCCGTAATTTGTGGCCAGCAGCGACAAATGTAGACAAATTGGTATTGGTCTGTTTCGTCCACATATCATCAAGTCATATGTCGAGACGTTGGGTTATTCTAGCATATCACACCAAATGAGCTCGGCAAAGCTCTGGTCGGGGCTAGAACCCTCACCTTCCAACTCCAAGCCCTTATCTTCGGGGTCCGAATTACCGAAGAATTGGTTTTGAGTAACTTGTACAAAAGCATCCCCTGCAGTCAATTCAAAAGGATTCTGTACCCCAGAGCTCTATTCAGTAAGGCGCCTTACATTTGGGTACTTGGGCTTCGGATACCTGTATGGGTACTTTAGTAAAACCCTGTCAGGACCACCCTACAGTATTCGCCAATAGAGCACCTGGACCGTGCGAGTGGGAATACTATTCTGGGGGTTCCTGATTATAGTATAATGGGCACCAAAAACCAACTCTAATGATTTGGAACGCTACTATAGATCCCTTATGACCCTGTATAATAAAAACCCTTTAAAGGAACCCTCTTCTAATTATTAAGGTCCCTATATTATTCACACTTCAGGGTTGGTGGGGCAGCCTCCTGAGGATGAACAGCGGGGGTTAGGGATTAGGGTTCAGGGATTAGGGATTAGTGTTTAGTTTTTAGGGTTTAAGGATTATAGGGTTTAGGGGACGACGTGACGATGTGGGTTTGACGCGACGACGTCCTCCTGAGTATGAACATCCCCAATATAATCTTTAAGGGGCGGGGGTTCAGGGATTATTAGTGTTTAGTTTTTAGGGTTTAAGGATTATAGGGTTTAGGGGACGACGTGACGATGTGGGGTTTGACGCGACGACGTGACGACGTGAAGCGCGTGACGAAAATTAGCGGCGTCAGAGGCGGCAACGGCGTCAACGGCGTCAGCGGCGTCGACGGCGTTGACGACGTTAACGTCGTCAGCGGCGTCAATGTCGTCAGCGTATATTGTTGGATTCACAGCGTCAACGGCGTCAACAGCGTCAACCAAGATTACGTATTGGTTATGGACATCACCGCACCTCCAAGGCCCAAGGCCCTAGAAAACCCAAACACCCTCCAACACAACCCAAAGGCACGACCCTAAGCCCAAAACACAGATCCAAACCAGGGCTTCCGCCCCAGAGGTCTGCGCGCAGACGCCCCGGCGTTCACCCCTCGTGCGCCAGGCCCTTTTGGTTAGGGTTTGCAGCTACCGGGGGTTCTGCTGTTCTGCTAAGGATTGCTATGCTGATGCGGGGTATTATGAGGGTAGGCTGGGTAAGCCTCACTAATCAAAACCATGCATTATATGGGCTTGGTGCGGTTTGTCAGGATCAGGGTTACCTTAGTTAATATCATCTCAGGGGTTCTCAAGCCCAACTATGTTGAAAGCCCCCGATGGTTCGTTCAAGGGTTTTTTCCCCCTCAAGTTTCCCCCGGTTTAATGAGGACGTAGGAATCATGCTGCCTTAAAGACGGTGGTTTAGTTTGGTTTGGGAGTTAGCAACAAGCGAGGTGACTTCAAACCCTGTGGAGTACTTCTGTACAATGCTACCAGCAGTTGGGAAAACTGGCAGTTTCTGGAACGGAGTGCTCAGCAAGCATGTTAGGGGATTGCTGGGTCTTTGGGTTTCTGGGTTCGTTCTTCGTGCTATGCTTGCACTAGTATCACTTGAGCTTCACAACCTCGAGCACCGAGCTCCACCTGAACCCGAACCATAAACCTTAAACCCTGACCCTGCGCCTTGATGCCTGAATCTTGATCCTGAAGTGCTGGGCCCCAAGCATGCGCAATCTGCGGAGGTTCAATACAAAAGGACGAAACAACAGTCCCCAATGCAATTATGGGGTGATATTCGCCCAAAGCCGTTTTTTCTTTGTTAACAGTCAGTGGTACTGCTACTGTTGGTACTATATAACGTGCTCATAGAAGCATCGCAGCAGCAGCGTTACCAGCGGAAGCGCCGTACACAATTAAACCCTTGACAGGAGGTGATCCACTGTTGCAGCTGTTGCTGCAGGCCTGAACGAATGTTTTTTTGGTTCAGGGCTTGTTCCCCAAACCAGACCATGTGGCACATACTACTGGGGTTGCTTGCGTTGGGGTTAAAGAGAAACGACCAGCATCTACCCGAGAGCGCCAAGAAGTGTCCGACCCACAATCCCGGCTGTGTTGGGGCACATTCTTTGCGCTCGGGTTCTGTTCTATCAACAGGATTCGCCATGGTACTGTCTCCGGGAGAGCAAGATTGAATAGTTATCATACATGAACCAGTTTTTGTTTCCAACAAGTTGAGTCGCTTCAGTTTTTTTGGGATACGATTTTGGGCATCCTCCCGAATCCCGCCAGCGCTTGGGAAAGCATTTTGGCCATGCTCCGGATTCCTCCGAATTTGCGGCAGTACTTGGGGGAATGCATTCGGGGCGAGTGGTCCTAGTGGTCCTGATCGTCATGATCGTCAGGGTACCCGTGGTGCGCTTTCACTCTTCGGAAATCTACGTTGACAGAGATAGCAGCTAGAGGGTTTAGGGCCTGGGGTTCGCACGGTTTTATTATAGTTTCGTTCATGAGAGTGCTAGTAATCGCTGTTGAGGGTGCTACAATACTTGCAATATGTGCAAGATCGGGGTGGCTGGCAAACCGGGCCAAGGTGCTTCCTTTACCGTTTGCTTGCGAAGTTTTGTGGTCAAGCCTCGGTAGTGTTTGGAAAGGACCGGGCATCGGGCATCCCAACCCCCCAGATGCTGCAGAAGATTCCCGAAGTTATGGTAGGGGCCCTTAGTAGGGGACTGAATCAATGGATCTCTGCCGTATAAACCGTTGTACAGAAAGGACGCCACAGCCTGACATTCTCTAGCAACGACGTTCAGCCGCTTGTGCAAGTTGGTCTTGGCCATCGTGGATACAGGAAAGACTGCGAGAAACACAGTGCATCCTAAACCCATCACGGTGTCCGCGACGAAGGACGTAGAGGTCCGCTTTTGCTTTTCAATCGGCTGGCCGAAGCCAACAAAGAGCTTCGGCGCATCAAAGCGTTCGTGACAAGCAACGGCTTGATTTTTTGCAACAGCAAACAGCAAGAGCAACCCGAAGGTGTAAAGCAGGTACAGCTTGCGTGAAGGACGGATTGTTGATCTTCGAGCTAGGTCAACTTATTCAACATGAGAAGCCGGATCTGCAAATTACGGATTACGTGAAGTTCTGAAGGATTTGTTTGAGAGGATCGTGGATGGCTCGCTGGTCTTTGCTGATTTGTGTGTATTCAAATTTGGCGCAGTGGGTCCTCATAGACCCTCATATAAGAATAGTACCCTTTCATGCGTCTGTGAAGAACCCCAAACCCAGGCTTCTATAACAGCATGGCTGATGGATGCTGAGGGGCTAAATCTTGCATCCCCCGTAGTACTGTAGGGAACATATCACCATTCCCTCTGTTTGCGGTTCGTGAGGTATTGCAGGATTTTGCTTGTCAGAAATAGCTTCAGAGTCTGCCTGGAAATGACTGTTTGAAGCGCTCAAAGTTGAAACCTGAATTTCTCATCTCTTGCTGACTTTTGCTTTCTGCATATACGGCTTAGGTAGAGGGCTTTTGGGTTTAAGCATTAGGGTCTCGGTGGGAGTTCAGGGGCCAAGGGTTTGGAAGTGTAGGATTCGCGGGCTTTCACTTTCGCAGCAAAGTAGGCTTGGGGTTTATAGGGGACATATGATGTAGCGTTTCAGTTTCAGCGTCAGAGTGTGGTGGCATTTTTCGTTTTCTCGCAGCCGCAGGACTACTACAGCAAGGCAGAACCGAGCGCGTGGTTACCGTCCTAATTTTCGGTCCAGGATTTGATTCAGTTCGACTGAGCTTTTCAGCGGTTTTTGATGTAACGGGCTGTCCTGACGGTCAGCAGCAGGTTGCTTTGGGAGAATTGCTAGGGGCTGCCGTGATGTCATAGATTCGTTGGTCGAGCTTCGTGGAGAACAGCTCAAAGGCTGCAGGGTTTGCGATTAGGGTTTGGGGTTCAGGATGCGGCGACGGTGTGCTAGGAAACCGCTCGGTTTCTAAGCCCGTAGAGTCTCAGAGTTCAATCCAAAACCTAGGACCGAAGATCGTAAACTCTGAGCGGTGCCCTGGCCTGGCAATGCGAAGACATGTTTGTGCAACAACACGCTTTGATATGACCCCCCTCTAGGAACTCCAAACCCAGAACTCGAAAGCCCCAGCGATACAAAGCCCTGTAATTGTCATCATGTCTTCAACTCCCAAGTCCGCCGAGAATCCCTTGAAACCAACACCGTTAAGCCGAAGCACTGCGTCTGATGTACCAAGCTTCATGGAGGTTCAGAGCGTGTATCGTTGTCGTAGCACCAGCGGAGTAGCTTCAGCAATGGTACTAGAATGGCACCCGGCATGGCGACCACTTGTTGGATTTATGGTGATTTGTGAGCGTTCAAAGTATAGGGCTTCTTGCAGGGTATACTAGTTCGCATGTCATGACACTTGAACCAGAGAGCCGTAAACGTAGCATGCTTGATTTCTCAAAGAGTTGTACCTCCACATCGCCACAAAACCCACTCGTAGATGTTCAAGTGTCCGGTTCGTGCAGTCTGAGAGAAACAGGGCTTAGCGAATGGGGCGCAGTCAGAGGGGATTCAATGTCTCGCGGTTCAGAGTTTAGTTTAGTGTTCAGCATGCCCATGTGTCAGGATCCCACAGTATGTCCAAAGCACACGGGTACTGAGGATGGTTGCAGTCGAACCCTTTTCGACACTTAGCGAGTTTAGGGTCACTGTAAATCCAAAACCCTGCTTGTCTGAGACCGCCGCCGGTCACGACGCAAACAGCCAGTGTCGCCGGCCTCGAACGTTTTTGTTGAAGGGTTTAATTTAAGTTACCCTAGTAATAAGGACACCCCACTGTTTACTAAAGATCCCTATTAAGTTATCTTCAAATCAATCCCTCAACAAGAACCCAGTGGAGGGTTGCAGGGTTCTGGCTGTTATAGGATTATAGGGGGGCCTCAGTAGTTGGAGTAGGGGTTTGTGTTGATTGC